GGACAATAACAAAATCCATAAGTCAAAAATCAAAAGTCATAAATCAAAAGTCATAAGAAAAGACTAAAATAAATCTATCAGTCGAAACTCAAAAGTGACCCTCCAAGGCTTCCATACAAACCACTAAATCACGCTTTCATGAGATCTTTATTTAGTGCCAATTCGGGATGACAGACCAGATCTCTTTGAAACTGCTTGTATTTTTTATTGCCTGCAGTGTCAGTCGTTCTAATTATCAAAGATATCAACTAGCAAAATTCGAAATATAATGACCTTGCTGGTAATATTTGAAATAAATTTCAAATTTCAAGTCGATATTTGTTCTAGTTTCAGATCTGCGATATTCAAATATTATAATGATTGTTAATTTCAGAACATTTTCTAAGCTTTTATCAAAATTCAATGATGAGTTGTAGAACTTTGCCTGTTGAGCTTACTTGTGACCTTTCAGATACACAAGATAATATATTGATGTAAATGTTAATTTTAATACTTAAAAGAGGCATCATAATTTTGTCAAAATGCAGTATATATTTATGAAACTTGGAAATGTTTTCTAAGTCAGAAAGTGGTTTAAACTCGGCCAGACTCCAATGAAGAATTGTAGAACGTTGCCCCCTTGTTTCAGATCCATCATATACATCTTATCTAATGATTCAAGTGAATATCTTGATATATCTTGATCATGTGTCAGAAAAAAATGTAGGTTTATATTAAATCTTTTAAAATTTGAAAGCAAAAAGGGCATTACTTTGTCAAAAAAGCAATGAAGAGTTGTAGAACTTAATCTGTTGAGCTTGCTTCTGAATCTAACACTGTTTCCGGTTTAAAGACTTATAAATGTAAATTTAGACTCGTTTTAAAGTCAATTAGGCTCATCACTACGCGAATTGCTATACAAAATTATTAAAATATGGCATGCTGATCTTGTCTGTAATTCCTCATACGTGTGTATATATTTCAAGTTTCAAGTAAAATCTTTACTGGTTTCCGAAATAGATAGTGTATATAAAGTGGCATTTCTTTTTCAAGTTACAGTTATGAAACATGGCTGATGACCCTTTAAATAAAAATAAATACCAATACATGTTTCAGATATATTCAGGTAACTATAATTTAAAAAAATGGAACATAATTTTGACAAAGTGCAATGAAAAAATATATATAAAAATGAGACTTTGCCTACAAAGCACATGTTTGACAATTCAAACTTATTTAAAGGTTTAGCTTTATATCATGTTCATTGGTTTAGAATGGGACATGTCGTGAACACAATGAAAACAAGTAAGTATGTCAAATAATGTAAGTGACAACTTTTCACAACTGACACTGAACATTTTCTGTAGTTAGTATACAAATGAGAGCAAGGCGCACAAAACAGTTACATATACTTGTGAGTTGTAGACTTTCCCGGACTCAGATCGTTTATACAATTTCTTTTAGTTCGATTGGGAAGGGAGCTATATGCCTATCTGCTATCGACACAGTTTTGAATCCTTTTCTGGAACCAACCAGTCCTAAGCAATAAAGTTTCACAAGCTGCTCAAGAAAACAATGGATTGCCTCTGACAGGGATTCTACTTGCGACTAGCATTCTTTAGGTAACTAATCCGGTGCGTTAACGACTTGGCAGCACCGGTACTTATCAAGTCTGCCCGTGATAAAGATTACTGTGAAATCTCTCGTAACTAAATCCAAGTTCAATCTCTTCAACACTAATAAATGTCAGAAATTGGCTTCGAGATTTAAAATTTTTGCTCCTTTACAGACTGACAAGATTAATAGAATTCGTATAAAATACAATTTTATTTAAATTTAGTGACCACTGTATGATTCAATGTTTGTCCAGCTCTAATTTTAAATCGTTGCAACGTTTTATTTTGTAAATTTTGACTTGAATAATAAACACACCCGTTAACTGGTTGCAAGTAGATCAGTTGGTTGCGGGAAAAAACAATTGTGCGCTTAGTAAGTTTTTTTATAAAAAAGACTCGAAAAGAGACAAAAAAGACTTGGTAATCCGCTTTAATACTACGTTTTACCTGCATCAAGCTGTCATACTCGCTAAATGTTAAGAATTTGTGTGAATTCTGTGTTCTATGTACTGTATGGAAATTTAGTCTGATATATAGAAATTATTTAAAGTAGCAGCTATATTTACTATATGTAGATATTTTTCTTGGTATACTTCAAGAATTCACGATTTGTACTCTCAATTTCGTGAATTCGTGACGTTGAAATTGTGAATTCATGAAATTGAAATCGTGAGTTGTTGAAGTTCACGACGTTGAATTTGTGAAGTTGAAATTGTAATTTCATGAAGTTGAAATTGTAAATTCGTGAAGTTGAAATCGTGAATTCATGAACTCATGAAGTTGAAATGTCCTCATCGATCTTTCGTATTATATCTATGAGATACTTCTGTTTCGTTTGCAAGAAACTTAGGCAAGAAAATGCTATTAATTACACCATTTACATATAAAGCTTCTCATTTGACTTTTGAAAAAAAAAATCTTCATGTGTGTTTATTATTTTCTTTGTTAAATCATTACTTATATATGCTTTATCTGCATACCACAATCCTCTTTTTGCATACATGTATATATTTAAGTTTCCTGTATTTGTCATTTCCTTTGTCAATTTTAGATTGTATTTGTTTTTTTTATAACCTGCATCCTTGAAAAATCATACGTCAAGTATTTCGTTTCATTCAACTATACTAGGTTTTGTTGAAAGAGACCATATGGGCCACCACTGCTCAGCTATTTTGTGCTATGGCTACTTCTACTGCTGTACTACTGCTGTACTACTGCTTTAGCTACTGCTACTGATGCGCCACTGCTACTGCTATTGTTGTGCTACTTCTACTACTGTGCTACCGCTACTGCTACTGTTGTGTTACCGCTATTGCTACTGCAGTGCTACTGCTGTGCCACTGCTACTGCTATCGCTGTGCTACTTCTATTGCTGTACTACTTCTACTATTGTGCTACCGCTACCCCTACTGCTGTGCTACAGTAACTGTTACTGCTGTGCTACTGATGTGCTATTGCTACTGCTGCACTACTGATATTGCAGTGCTACTGCTACTGCTGTGCTACTGCCAATTTCACGTTTATAGTTTTGCTTCTGCTACTGCTGTGCTTCTTCTGGGACAATTTTACGTTTAATTATTTTGCTCTTGCTACTGCTGTTTTACTGCTTACTTCCCATACATGTAATTTTGTTTTTTATCGCTTCCTATTCCAGATTTAGATAGTTTTCTGATAATATACTCAATTTACTCTTTACCACTTATAATATTTTGGTTTTAAACTTTAAGGTGAGTGCTAATTGACAAAGATTTTCTTTTGAGAAGTAATAACTTTTCTGACAGATTAACTATCCATCTATTAAACTTTAAAATCACAATGCTTATAAATCGCATTTTGTGGTATGATACCTAAAAATATAGCCATATGACAAATAGACATACAAATCTAGCTGTTCGATGCTGAACAATTAAGTTGTATGTTTAGAAAAATAAGTGGTAGGTACTAAACATAAAGTAGTAGAACATCTATCTACATTTGACCATTTAACATTCAAGCGGCGAAATAATCAAATAACTTTCAAGTTTTGTTTTTAAACTATCAAGACATTATTTGTATTAATGTCACACTCGAACTTCTATAAAAAAGGGTGTGTAGTCAAACAATAAACAAAAGGTAGGTCATTTGGTTCAAACAGGAACTTAGAAATTATATTACAAATCCATTGGTCTACTTACGATAATATATAGTAAACAGGAAATGATAGTTAAGTATAAGATGTATTTGTAAAACAAGTCATAATATTTCAACTTTCACCACAAAATGAAATCCCATCACCACATATTGTCAATGTTTATAGTGATAAATAAGTGTTAAAGGTTCGTTTTAGTTACTCATATAACAAGATCATAAGTAAAAAATTTATAGAAATGGTAGGTAAGATTTATTCTAAAAAACAAAAACAACAACAACAAAACATTTGTGCTCGGTCGCCAGACAAATCTTGCGTATTCTCAGTTCTGAATATTGCAAGTTTTAATCTTATTCCTGAGCATTTATCTAACATTCTGGAAATGATATATCAATGCTAAAAAAGAATCAGCAGGTCAACCCCGTATCTTCCATTATACTTTCTTACATTCAAGTGTGATGTTTTAGATTTGCACCGTCATGTTTTCAATAAATAAAACAAATTTTAAACCAAATATGTATGCATGCAAAACATGTATGTATCTATATAACTAAATCTATATTTATCATAGAAATGTGTGTAATGCAGACTGTAAAATAGCAGATAATTGTGTTGCATTCATTGCTACTATCTCATTATTTCACATACATTTCACATAAACATATGTTTGTGTAATATATTTATTTCCGCCTCATTCAGTATACATTAATGTTATACTATTATCAGTAGCCTATTTGAAAGTATCATGCAATTGACAATTCTTAATTAATGTGATAAACTGACCAAATAAAAGTTAGAAAACAACTGCTACTTTTTGACGCTCAACGAGTGTGTCTTCCGTTTAAACGCAAGACATGTTCTATCAAGTAAATGTACACCTTTATAACAACCAAGTAACATGTTTTATAAAATAAAAGCTACGTTAACAAGCTTTGAATTATAATGTTAGATTAGGTGAGCCTGAGAATATACGTATGTTTATATAACATAATTATCAAGTTATCAAGCTATGATATTTTATATATGAATACAAATGATCATTCGTTAAATAAATAGTTACTATATTATCATTCAAAGTCAAAATTTAAAGAACAACATTTTCAAGTGTTTAAAATAGTAAACAAACACGATTTAGCATGTATAAGTATAATCCCATGTCAATTTTACGTATTGAGAATATCGTGAAATAACCGAATTATACCAGGAAGAAAAGAAATTACAATTGACTAGTATTCTATTTATAGATGTGGATTTTAGTTTTATATTTAGATATCTATATTTAGTCATTGTTTACATTTAATCGCATATCTATATAAGACGAACAAAATCAAGAATTTAAGTATTGAAATAAATAATCAGTAATCAGTCAGTAATAATACAATCAGAAAATAATGCAAGCATTTCCTATTAAATGTGTTGTTGTTGGAGACGGGTAAGTTATGTTGTTATGTTATGTTGTTATTTCACTAATGCGTGTAGACCCTACCATTAAATTCAGTACGAAATTTAAAAGAATATTTTTATTTGTATATTTCATGTTTTATTTGCAGGTGTGTTGGCAAAACTTGTTTAATGATGATGTACTCACAAGATGCTTTTCCTGATGAGTATATTCCAACAGTGTAAGTATTGACTTATAGACTTTGACACTAAAACAACAACAACAAATCGTGTACACCATCTATACATATTGTCGATTTTAAAAATAAAAATATATGCTGTTTTGTTCCGAAAACGTAACGTTTTAAGATTATTTCGGCGTAAATGTTTTATCTTTGAAACGTAATGTTCTATGATATATATCAAAAGTAAAAAAAAAGAATAAAGTTATATACATTACTGGTAATTCGATCTTATTTTTCCTTGGTATCAAACTCAAGTGCCATACTACTTCATGGTTACTATTAACTGTAAAATAAAACATATTTTTACTGTTTAATGAAGACATATCATTCATAATATGTTGTATAAATAAGTTTTACATTACAGGTTTGAAAGTTACCAAGCTAATGTGCGAGTAGATGACCGTGTATGTTGTATAAGTTTATGGGACACGGCAGGTCAGCACGAGTACGACCGACTTAGACCGCTCGCTTATCCACAAACAGTAATTACAATCTTTCTTCATTTTGCTATATTATCGTTTGGAATATTGCTGGCTTTATTCATAACTGATTCAATGCTAAGAAAAAAGAAAGAAAATTTTACTTGTAATTGTAGACAGCAGACAACAGTAAACAACATTTTGAAAAAATGGTTTAATTCCCCCAAAACGAACGTCCGAGTATAAATAGCAATGTGTTCAGACAGTAAGATGAAATTATCTCAGATTAAAATTCAGCCTGAATCATGGATGGACATGCTGTTTGAATAAATTACTATTAATCACGAAGTAAATGCTATATTTTATTTGAATTAATTACTATAAATTGCGAAAGAAATGCGACTTTGATATAAGAATCAATTTCTATAAATTACGAATGAAATGTTTGATTGCAGGATGTCTTCCTGGTATGTTTTTCCATTGACTCAAGAGACAGTTACGAAAATGTTAAACAAAAGGTAAATATAGATAAAATAGAAAATCGACTTAATGTTACATATATCACTTTATTTATAACAATAACCTAAAGATTGCTTACAAAATGACCTTATCAGCACTTGCTAAATCTGTTTATTTCAACATCTAAGTATATACTCTAAGTCCCTCCATATTTAAAGAACGAAACACACTTAAAACTATATACATGTCTCTATTATGAACCTGTGCATTAAGAGACTCTCTAATTTCTCTAATTATTACACATACAAAAATAATAGTATTTACAAATTAATACTAATTGTATACATGTACCATTTATTATAATATATAAATCTAAGGATACATTTGCCAGTATGTTGCAGTATAATATTCCTAAATGATTTAATATCATTACGGAACATTCGCATAGTTTTGTTTAATCGTCTTCGATCCTTTCTTTATGCTATTTATCATAATATAAGTTGATATTTATTTTAGTGGTACCCAGAAATAAGACACCACTGTCCTCATACGCCAATAGTACTGGTTGGAACAAAAACGGACTTGAGAGATATTAAAGGAAATGGGAAAAAAGTGAGAAGTACCCTTGTTGAGGTAATTGATACAATTATAAACTATTTTAATATGTTCTTAGTTATATAAAAACATATACGAAATTATATTTTTTGAAAGGTTATATGACTATACATAAACGGTTCTAAGCCAGGCGACAACCGTTGAAGAATTCATAGCAAATCTTTAATACAGTCCATTATATTTTGAAGAAGGAAATAGCTTTCAAGATTTACTGCAGACATACGAGTTAATGTAATATATTGTAATTCCCAGATTACAAAATCGCTGTTACAAAATACTATTAGTGTGGATAAGCGTGAGCACTACAATAATTTTAAGTTATATTAATTTTATTTATATTTATAAAGAGTTAAGACTACACCCTTTACATATATCCTTCTTTATCTATGTATAAGACACACATCATAGACAAAATATACATGTATAATCGAAATACCTCCATGTATGTTCGTAGTTTATAAATGAAACCGGTTCTTCCAAGTAACAGTTTCTTCTTTTTTTGTCCTATTTGTTTAACTTTACCAAATATGACTCTTTTAAATGTGTCGCATTTGTGCTGATTCTTTTGCATTACTTTATCCAACTAATGTGCTCTAATGTTATGTTTTTAGGGCAGAGATTTGGCACATAAAATCAAAGCTGTGAAGTATGTAGAATGTTCCTCTAAGACAGGGCAAAATGTCAAGCTGGTTTTTGATGAGGCCATCAGAGCTTGCTTTTCACCACACATTCATAGGAATAGGAATCCAATATGTAAAATATTTTGACGAAAATTACAGACAAAAACATGTGTTCATTGATATTGAAAGGAAGATAGAAGAAGATTATGGTTGTTTTGACTACAATTATAGAAATACGAGAGCAGATGATATATAACATTGTGCATATATATACATGTCTCCCTGTTTGTGAAATGGGTCAATTGGAAATAGTACAATGGCATAACAAATAACACAGGTCTGCGAGTCAAGAGTGTGCCTGGCATAATAAACGGGTCCAGAAAAAAAAGTAGAATATCGTCACGTAACATTTCCAGTTTAATATGAATACAAATACGAACCAATCAACTGTGAACATTTTATCTTGTTAAGCCACTTGAATCATTTATCATTCTCCCTATAATGTAAAAGAAATACCCACGTGAACGTTGAAATGATTCTACAATATTGTATGATGTAAAAATATATAAACATTCAATGTCGTTCTTTGTTTACATCACTTGTTATCTTTTTTTAAAAACTAGTCAAAAAAATAAAAGCTGCAATAAAATACAACAAAGTCTTTATTATGTTTTAAAGTAATTTGGTCATTTGATAAACCTAGTGAACACTTCAATGATACGAACATACATGTTTACGATAACGTATAATAAGTTCTTGAATTTTGATTGGCTTAAACACTTTGTAAACTATTCTGTGAAAAACGGAAGCGTGTACGTATCTATAATGAACTTGTCATCAATAACAGATTGCATTATCTCAGTTGCTGACTGGGATATACGGGAGAATATAGCCTGACTGGGATATACGGGAGAATATAGCCTGACTGGGATATACGGGAGAATATAGCCTGACTGGGATATACGGGAGAATATAGCCTGACTGGGATATACGGGAGATTATAGCCTGACTGGGATATACGGGAGATTTATAGCCTGAATGAGATATAAATCATCCGGTGTGAGGTTAATATATACGCCAGCAAGGCAATACTTTCCTCCAGTAGTATGTTTGAAACACTGGTATCATTCAGCAATTATTATTTATACTGTATATGCTAGTAGTTTTTATGTTTGTTTCACTAATATTTGTATAAACATATACAAGTATAGCCTTGCTGAATATATTTAACTCTCGCCTAGCGCCTCGGTCATATTTATCTGATTCAGGAAATACTTCCCGCCAATTCTTATCAATGACTCGTTCATAAAATAACAGCAACTTTTGGTTGATTTTACTGAAGTTCGGGAAAAAGACACTTGTAAAGTAACAGCTACATAAACAAAAGTGAGTCAAGTAACGTGCGGTATAACTTTTAAAGATGCATTATGCCTCAAAAACTTTACTTCTTTAGAAAGGGCAAACATGAAATAAAAGTAGCAAAATGTAAGAAAGAAGTATTTTGACTTCCATACAAATACTTATTCATTAAAATTGTACTTATTGTCAAAAGGCAACAGATGAAAACGATGGTTCAGGTAATAAGCCAATGAGAAACAGTATGGATACTGTAAAAGTACAAATTTAAAAGCTTCTGAGAAATAAAAATAAAAGCATTTCTGAGGTATAATGGGCCTATTTCATTGTAGTAACGGCATTCGAACTGAGATTTCATGGTATACACAGTATAATATACAAAGTGTTTCAGTCAATCACATACCCATAATAAGAACTCTTTTCTTTTCAGTTAAAAAGAGACCTCTTTTCATTGAAACTTAGCCGTCTTTAAGCTTTGTTTGTATTACGCAAATGTTGTTTGAAAATACGTTCGTAAATGCACGGCCGTACAATACCATTTTTACGGACTGTCAAGAGCGGCACGGGTATATAATAAAAAGTAATTCAAGTATAAACTCTTCTTAGCGGTTGTACTTTTAACTAATCTTTTTGAATTAATGGCATTTGAATCGAGAAATATGTCATAAAAAGCAAAACGCAAATTTTATGCACACACGTAGGTGACCGTCTGAACCAAACTTATTCACCATTGCAGTAATCAAAACAATAAATAATTTTGACCGTATTAAAACGTATATTAACAGCAATGTCATTATCCTATTTAACAAACATGTCTTTTTAAAAAAAACACTGTTGATACTATGTTAAAATAAAATATGATTTTATGTAATGATTATTGAGTTTTGCTCTTGTACAATGAATAAACTTATTTAGGAGTCAATACAATATGATATCCCTTATCAAATTAATGATATTTAAAATATAGCTTATAGCATATTGTTTAACATTTATAGCATATGGTTTAACATTTATAGCATATGGTTTAACATTTATGACACATGAGTTAACATTTATATGGGCTAATATTTATAGCATATAGGTTAACACTTACAGCATATGGGTTAACATAGACGGACATTGTTGTAAATGTGATACTGCACCTGATATAGAAACTGTTTGTAAAAGTTCAGAAACTTGCAACACTGGAGTAAACAATTGTCTAGTGGATATAGGGTATATTATTCATAAATATATTTCCCCGTAAAAATTATTCACGTAATGGCAGCCAGGTAAGCTCCGAAGGTCATGGACCTAACCTGACTGCACATTATTCTCAATACGATTGTGACATTATTATATTAATGAAAGGTAGTTTCGCTGCAGAAATACTTTAATAAAGTTATTGTTAATCTCCACACAGTTTATAAGTCATTTTTATAGTAATGAAGTTTGTTCTCTATGTCCATTATATATAAAAGCAAGGACTCCTTATAAAAAGGGTGAAAGGGTATATAAAAGCATGTACTAGTTTAACCATGCTAACAATTGCCAGTTATTGTGTTTTGGTATAAGAGAGACTACTCTGATTGTATTCAAAATTTTTAATGTTGATTGAGTTTTTTCTCTTGTTCCTTGACAAAAGGTTACACTCATCAACATAAAACAGCTTACCCGCACATGTACTCACCAGTAAAGCTGGAAATACATAACCTTTTAATGAATGATAATGGTCATATGAAATATGTGTAGCTAGGGTGTGGAACTGGAAAGTCGCCACATGATTTTTACAGTGTCGGTGATACAAACAATATCATACTGCAGTACGACGGCATTCGAATCTTTAGCAGTCTTGTTAATCTAAAGAAGTTTTTCTGAAATCTTAAAAAGTCTTTTTAACGCGTAAAAGGGATATCAATTTAACTCATTTTTCATGTTGTACATTTGCTCGTTGATTTATGTAAATTCTACAAAAATAAGTTCATGGCTGTGGTAAAATGCTTGAACGTAAATGATGACTCTTTGACTGATATCTCATGGCATGGAGTGGTGAAGTTAGAAAGTAACAAAAAGTAGGAATTAAATGAAATGACATATACCTCAACTAGAGTTACAAACAACAGTCAATACACATACAAGATAATTTTGCTGTTCTTTTCCTATAACGAAGTAGTTAGTAACGCGGATATAATTTCAGTAACGTCTTTTATTTTCAAACAAAGTTACTAACTAAATATTCAAAGTTCACTCATACAAGCAATCTAGTACGAAATGTTTTTCAAAATTTGTGGCATTCATGTCATACAATAAGGAAGTTTGCTAAAAATTCGTAATAAAGATTCTTGATAGGTTAAATGGCCATATTTTAAACATTGTTTACAATATAACTGTTCTTACATGACCATATAATATGACAAAACAATATCTAATAATATGCAGGGTGTCTTCAAATACACGTATATACGTCTTGTTATGTTAAAGAAGAGGGAAGTCGTTGGCTTGTATACTTAGGTGTGTGAATTAGTCATTGAACTTAAGTTTAATGTATTCGATGACCGATCAACCTCAATACAAGAAATGATCTCTTCTCTTCTTTAATTGCAAATATTACCATAGGAAGTTTATATACATACACGATTAACTTCCAGTTGAACATATATATGTCTGAAAATTGTTCTTTAAAATTGTGTCACCGGATAAAATGATAAGAAATAAAATAATATTAACATATATTTTATACAGTCACAATGTATTCATTGCCTATTAAATGTGTTGTTGTTGGAGACGGGTATGTTGTTCTAGAAAGTTTTTACTTTTATTTAATCTTAATAAAATATCAACCTTTCTGAAATGTGATATGTGAAACAAACACAAATACACGAGCATATAGGTATACAATTATAATAAAATAGGATAATTTATCAACTTAGTGTACGTTCGTAAATTGTTGATTTCCTTTTATCATATACCTATTGTTTTTGGTTATTTTTAATTACTATATATATTTATATATTTTCACTCAACAGTTGTGTCGGAAAAACATGTTTACTAATGTCTTATACACAAGATGCATTTCCTGGAGAATATATACCTACAGTGTAAGTATAATTTAGTTTATTTTGTTGTCTTTTTATTGTGAAAAAATGTATTAAGAACTCAAATTCCTGTGAATAAAACTATTTTAAAAGATATGTTAAATGTTTAATATTTCTTTTTTAGCTAAAAATACATTTTTCGTTAAAACAAACCAAATTTTCTAGGTATCTGATACATATTTGAATTATTTTAATTCATCACTTTTTGTAAAAGAAATAACACCTGAAATGTTTTTATCCAGACATAATTGAATAAAGTTATGAAAGAAAATTCGAGGATAATTTTATATCATTATGTTAAACTAATAAACAACATTTAGCAATTATCAATAGTATTTGATTTATTCGGGACTTTTATGTCGTAGTTTTGCGCGTGTATCGTTTCGGAATGTCTGAACATACAAAATTTGTATTTCATATGAGTAACTTTGGAAGACATTTAAATATATGTAGCAATAATTTGAACACATTTTGTATTTGAACATATTTTGTATATTTACATGACAAATATTATGTCAATTAGATCAGTAAGACTTCTTAAATTATGCAATGTTATATTTTCACACAGAACCTTTAGTTTTGAAATGTACTTTTCTACCGAGAACCTAATTGATCTGAACAGTTTGAATACTCAGACGAATAGTGTATTTAGTACAGTTGAAGAATTGATCACGTAGTTTCCTTATTAGTGATTATTCGAGATGTAGATAAGATCGCCCCGTTTTACTAATCAGATGAAAGATGAAGTCATCCGCAAACTTCCTCAAAACAAAGACAGCCAAGAGAAAATAAATGCTGAGTCATATAAACTAAACCCAGGATGATTATCAGATAATAAGAATGATTTATGTGGCATAAATTTTATTATCATTGAAATACCTAAAGTATATGGTATGCAAGTTTTACGTGGGCTTGGGTTAACGCTATGTGACTTATGTAAGCTAATGACATATTTATTAAGGTTGATTAAGCTTTGGGTTATAAGACACAAGGCCTTGTTCATTTATTTTACATTGTAATTTTGTTATTGAAATAGTCTTACATTGATACCTTTCTTTTAGGTTTGAAAACTATCAGGCCAATGTGAGGGTAGATGGACGTGTATGCTGTATAAGCCTATGGGATACAGCCGGACAGCACGAGTATGATCGACTCAGACCATTGTCTTACCCACAAACAGTTCGTCTAACCATATCTATTTACATGTTTATTTTCCTTTCAAATACTGTCCGATACCTAAACAGTAATAAATATGTATACTTATTCTAATCTAAAAAAAAAATCAAAATTATGTTTATTTCTAAATATAAAATCAATACTTTGAAAGGAGATGACTAATCATTCTCTCTCTGGTATTTTCGACACTAAAAATCTAAACACCACAAACGAGAGTGTATCACCTTCTGATTATCAAATTCGTTTCTTTCCAGGATGTCTTTCTGGTATGTTTTTCTCTGGATTCAAAGGATAGTTATGACAATGTTACACAACAGGTAATCATGAAATGCATTATCTTAGTCTTTAGATATCCAAGTTCCATCATAAAAAACATTACATGTACATTACACATTGAAATTAATCTATCAAATGCAGTTAGAAAATTAAGACAGCGGTATCTTATATCAAAAATGTACAACACTCATGTTACAAAATACGTTTATACTGCCAATAATTATGAGACAATGTGCATGTGGTAGATACATTGTACTAAGTGTTCGGGTTGATAGGTATCTGACTGCAAAAATAAAGTTTGCCATACAAATGTAACATATATACAATGTTTCACTTCAGTGGCATCCAGAAATACGGCACCATTGTAAAGATACGCCGATCATATTAGTTGGAACAAAAAAGGACTTGCGAGATTCTAGGGAAGAAGATGAAAAGTCGAGGAAATTAATAACATTGACTGAGGTAAAAAAAAATCTTCCGGCACCATAATCATTTCAAACACTGTGCTTAATGTTGTCAGTCTTTACGTCACTGTTTATGGAGAAATCATACGACATGCATTATACATTTTGTCCGTAAAATATCTATATATTCTATTATGTGTTGGGGTTTTTTTTATTATCTTATGAAGAAAAATTTCCTTCCCATGAATTTACATGCATTTCATTTACATAATGCATTTAACTACTATTTTGTAAATTTCAAAATTACATTTGGCATGTTTACCGATATTTTGTTAGTGAATGTAAGTGTGTCTTCCTTTTCAATCAAACGATATACACGTCTATCTGCCTTGCTTAAGAAATTTTCTTGTATACATGAGATTAGCGGCTAATTCAAAGACAATTGTTAACTTAAAATAATGATTTTATTCAAATACAGGGTAGAAGTTTGGCACAACAGATAAAAGCTGTCAAGTATGTTGAATGTTCGGCGAAATCGGGGGAGAATATCAAATTTGTGTTTGATGAGGTAATACGAGCCTGTTTTGTTGAACAAAAACAAGCAAATAAAGACACTGAGTGTATTGTTGTATGAAGTTTTAGAAAAACATTATTTGTGAGTAATATCAACGTAAACATGTATATGAAATAGTACAATAAGCTGTTATTAATGTCATCTAGGAACTTAACTCATTTGACCACCATGTAATTTTAGCAATTAGATGATGCGAGGGACATAACGAAACAAACATTGTGTCGCGCATGTACGTATTCGTAGAGTTTCAAAAGTCAAATAGTAAAATCATAACATTCTGAACACCTCACCGGTTACCAATAGCCGTCGGATTTGAAAGAATTCTTTTAAGGTTAACAAAGGAAAAATGTGCGCTATTTGCAATAATGCAAATTTGACATCCGTAAAAATAAAGACATGTTGGTAATGATTGAAAAATATACATGACAATAATAATGAATTATAGATTATCGCTTGGGTATTGTATTAAAATCATTTCCGAAATACTGCTAAAGAGATATGGTGTTGCTACTTGTGATTTGTTGAAATATAGTAATTAGATAATAAATAATGTTGTTTGTCTATTCTTTTTTACACGAAACAGTGAAATAAAGTTACTGATTTAATCCAATCATTTACTATTTGTTTAGAAAATTACATTTTGTAGCATAGTTTAGGCCGGTAGTGGAGTTTCCTTTCTCTGAAATTCTTGCAATTGTGTTCGATGTCCTTTACGGAAAGGCCGAAAAAAGTTGCGACTCTGTACGTTCAAATGTTGTGCAAGCAGTGTAAACAAGCAAATGATGTATTAAAGAAATTATGCATTACGAATTAGCGTTGGTATCTTCTGTGTTTCAAAGATTATAGTCAGTCAATCATATATGCCAAATATACAGGCATAGTATTTATCCACATATAACTAAACTATAACTTGGTCTACATAACAAGTGACACTTGTGGCCGGGTCAATTTTGACTTGAGCGTCATAATGTTGAAATCTACTACTAGTAATTGGTGCTACATACATGTACCAAATATCTAAGCACTGGGCTTTGTAGTTTCAAATAGACTTTAATGTGTTATCCTACATAAGTTTGTATCAGAAAAGGGGCATAATCAGTATCAGTTTTGCAGGGATTAGATTCACAAGGTAATGGTACATACTAAATATTTTAGCATTGTAGTTTCACAAAATAAGACTGAAAATTGTTTTCCTATACAAAACTATGATAACTGAGTGACCCACGGACTGGAGCAAATATTGACCCAGGTGGCATGATTAATACTTGCTTTTTTGTGGTCCACAAAGTGATTTCACATGTCAAATATCTAAGCTCTGGATTCATAGTTTGTGTTTCATATAATAAGTCCCATGTGTGTTGTTCCTTTATAAGTCTATATTATATAATAAATCAAGTGACCTTTAGGGCCGGGTCAATATCGAACCAACGGAATGACTTTATGAACCACACAATGAAACCTGAACCTATATATGTTAAACAATTTGTTTACATATGGATGTTGAAAATTTGACAAAATGCTCTTATTTTATGGACTTAAAAACCCCAAAACAGTTGAATCTGGAATGAGAAAAAAAACATGCCAAATGTCCACTTTTACGTTTTACTTCAGCTACTCACAAAATAAATATTGAAACTTGATAGTTCAAGTGTGGACACAACAATTTATACATACATCAGATGGGATTACTCTGAGAAAAAGTCTGCAAGGGTTTAATATGACACCATCCGAAAAATAAAAACCAGTTTTTTTTACAGAATTGGGTGTGAACTGGACAGTACTGAAATATCAGACAGTATGTGTTAAGCTACAGAATGAAGAAATTGAAATACAAGCTGACCACTTTGTTGCGACACAAACGTGTATTCTGTAAATTGGAACAACTGTGAGAAAACATTAAGGAGATTGACCCCAAACTTTCAAACAACCCCACATCCCTATATAATATGGAAAAGAAAAAATACTTTGAAATGATAATTGCTGACTCGGTCTGATTGAGTCTGATAAAGTAACGTGATACATTTTATCAATGTAGAGTTATTTACGGGTCAATGTAATATTCACTTTAGGCAGTATGACAATACTTCTTAACACGCCGTTGTGTCCAAAATTTAACATCTATGAATAACAAATTCCAGCAAAACCTACAAATACTCAATAGTTTGACCATTTGAGAGCCTACAACTCTTAAACATATTACTATATCTAGTGAATTCAAAGAGGGAACCGTTTCTAGTGAATTCAAAGAGGAAACCGTTTCTAGTGAATTCAAAGAGGGAACCGTTTCTAGTGAATTTAAAGAGGGAACCGTTTCTAGTGAATTCACGTTTCTAGTGAATTCAAAGAGGAAACCGTTTCTAGTGAATTTAAAGAGGGAACCGTTTCTAGTGAATTCAAAGAGGGAACCGTTTCTAGTGAATTCAAAGAGGGAACCGAATTTAAAGAGGGAACCGTTTCTAGTGAGTTCAAAGACGGAACGAATATCTATTGATTATCAATTTCTGGTGCGAATAAGGTTGTAAAGAAATTAAAACATAAGCAATTATCATGCGTAGAGGGCAAGATATCCACCATCTTACCCTTTTAGGGCAACTCCATTACACATGAAGGGATCTGACTCATTAAAAAAACCCTATGTTCACCTTTGGTTTAAACTATAACTGAAATTAATATTATACAGTTATTTGGGACAACAACAAAACAATATCATACTTTAACTAATTTTATTTTATTCATTCATAGTGGCATATGTAATTTATCTCACTGAGTAATGTCTTAATTTATCTTTGGCATTTTATGGGCACGACTCCATTAATAAAAGCCAAAAGGTTTGGATACCGGGCATACAAAACCCTGTTAGGGCATCCATAGCAAAGCAAACAAATGACACAAAATCAAAACAAGCAAATGGAACAAACTGTATAGCTTTTTGGAACAGTATGTTCTAGAAAATAATTGATCAAAGCAATACTAGTCATTCAATTCTTCATTCACAAAATAGTCAATTTTCACAAATGTATATGAGCAACAACACAGCATTGACACTGTTGCGCGAAATTGGTTCTGGGAAGCAGAAACCAGTATCGCCAGTATCACAAAATGTCTATTCGCCGGCCACAAAATGCAAATTTAGCAGACACAACATGTGAAATCTAGTATTTGAAAGTTCATAGAACACATCTCTGGAGTCGCACCGTTGTCGAATTCTCTCTGCTGGTGGTTTTGGCCCAAGCAGTTTTCCTAAAAGATACCTCTTCCGTGGTATTTAGTAGGGCTAGCTGTCTTGAAACACGTCGCTTATGTTGGTTAATCTGAAAACATACCGTATCAAAAGAGGACAGAAACAACGAAACAAGCATGACGCTAGTATTATATTTAAGCTCAAATCTTTGACACTTCACACTCATAATTGACCGAGGAGGGCGGGTGGGTTTTTTCAACAATTCATTTCTTCCTTGTTACAATATTCGACGTCAGCGTTAAAAGGATATGACGTAGATACAGTACCTACGTCATAACCAGGGCAGGGTATAAGTTGTTCCCCAAATAACAGAGACTATTCTATAAAAATAGTCATCATTATTTGGGACAACAACAAAACAATATCATACTTTAACTAATTTTATTTTATAGTCATTCATAGTGGCATATGTAATTTATCTCACTGAGTAATGTCTTAATTTATCTTTGGCATTTTATGGGCACGACTCCATTAATAAAAGCCAAAAGGTTTGGATACCGGGCATACAAAACCCTGTTAGGGCAACCATAGCAAAGCAAACAAATGACACAAAATCAAAACAAGCAAATGGAACAAACTGTATAGCTTTTTGGAACAGTATGTTCTAGAAAATAATTGATCAAAGCAATACTAGTCATTCAATTCTTCATTCACAAAATAGTCAATTTTAACAAATGTATATGAGCAACAACACAGCATTGACACTGTTGCGCGAAATTGGTTCTGGGAAGCAGAAACCAGTATCGCCAGTATCACAAAATGTCTATTCGCCGGCCGCCACTAGACTTCGGATGGTGAACGGGAGATTTCCCGTTTTCCAGTCGAAGGCTCCGCCAATAACATATAATATTGGCTTCGCAAATATCATACTATTATTGGCTCCGGCGAATTGAATACTTAAAAAAAATTAGTCGTGCCCAGCCATTCTATGATTTATAATACAACGCTGCCATGTAGGTAATTCAACTTAGCAAATAAAGCAGCATTCCAACAAATATGCATATACTATTATACTAGCTCTCATAAATCAAATATGACACTATCTGAAACACAATAATTTGGGTAGTAACCATCAAGATCTAGAGTTCAGTGCCATTTCTCTTGACATGAATTTAGCAAGAGCATTCAAACTGTTCCAAATATGTGCTAGCTAAATGTATATACATTTGACAGTGCATTTTTTCGAGATATTAATTTAGCAATAACGTTCAAACTGCTTCAAATATGTGCTAGATACATGTATACAATAAGTGCATTCAATCAACTGAACTATAAATTATGCATCAACACATCAACTTTTCAAATATACATTTCCTGAACCACTCTATGCCATAGGTGTTCGGCGCACTGATCGGCCACCCACCCCACAACCCTCCCACCCTCCAAAACCATGTAAACTACAGTATTTTTCATTTGAAACATGTTTTAATATTTGGTATATGCTTTTAATTCAATTACCTTCATTTCCCACAAAAAATATAAAAAATGATTTATATATACATATTTAGTAAAGGTATGCAACTCGCTACATATTTGTCAGCACTCATCTTAATAATAATTGAACTCCATAATCCCAACGTTTTTTCACCAATTTTCAATATTATGGTTCTGACAGATTGGAGGGCCGCAAAGTGGGCGAGGGTCCCCCGGGGGCAGCCACCAACCAACGCGCCGAAAACATATGCCCAATACAATAGTGACCATCAAGATCGTGAGACCTGCATGACTCCGAGAGCAGATATTTCCAATTGCACTCCATGGGTTCGAATCCTTCCAATTCAACCAACATGTTTAATAATGTTACAGTAATCAGGTTTCCATTTGTTTTTAAATGGCATGATGTAAACACTTGCACTCCATGTGGTAAAGAAAACTAGCAACAATTTATTGCATCATATCGTCGACAAGGCAGAACACTGGTATTACATTTTAGTATGCTTAGCAGCTCTTGTCATTAGAATAGCATGCACTATTAACGTGTTAGAAATTGTCCTAATTTTTTATCCCACAATTGTACATAGGTTGCCACAATTGTACATAGGTTCGAGCTATATTTTTCAATTTGCAGCATTTCACACCACCCATCCTGGTCAGTCATGGACTGTCTTTCTAACATGTGAAGCGCATATTCAAAATAGGTACTTATACTAATATACTTAACTGAGCTGTAAAAAGATTTGAAACAATTAATAATAGATTTCATGGAATATTTACTAATAAAATGTCTTTAAACCAAAAACATACTAAATTCCCGAACTTCAAGAATAATGATTTAAGCTTTTTGTTGGACATAAATTCTACTGCCAGTGTTATAAGCAATTACACAAAATATTCTTCACTGGTCAGTTTGCAGCATCCAGCTATACTGTCAGTTAAAAGTTGTTTGATTCTGTATTGGTTATTAGTCAATTCATCCAATTAATAGACTTAAATAAAAATTGATTATAATAATACTAATGTATTTACGTTTTATTTTAATTGAAAGCCGCATTCATTAATCTGCAATACAGAAAGCATTTGCTGATTATCAGCCAAGATATTTTTGATTATCAAATTAAATAGCTGCTGAAAAAAAAATTAGCTTAATAATATGGTAATTTAAGATTTTGAAAAAAGAGAAACCTTAGAACATTGCCAAAGTATTTGCATCATTTTATTTAAACATTGTAAAGTTAGTATTTTTATGTGCCTTACTATGTTTATTGTTAATAAAATAATCCAGACAGAAAACGACAAATATTATTACCATGAAGATAAAAAGACAATCATTTTAAGAACAAAAATTATATAAATATCAAGAGCTTAGATGGACTCTGAAGTGCATAATAATTTATTACAAAATTATGAAAATATTTGTACATTAAATGATTTAATTGACACTAATTAAATAGAATGTAAACAGTATTAAACAGTATGTAATAGATATTTTTGACATAATGCATAATGCCCATCCAAGGCTTTAATTATAATGAGTGAACAGGTGAAAGTCAAATAAGTTTAAATCTTGCCATTATTCCTTTCAATTTTATAATGTACTTTCCATTTATGAACGATAAATTAATGCGATTGGAAATTACCCAAAATGTTCAATTTATATAAGTTTGGGACAGTCTTTTTAAATTTTAGGCTTACTTATATTTTATCATAAACATTTTAAAATATCAGCTGTATGTCAATAACATTGTTTCAGTCAATTATTTGAAACATAAAGTCAATTCAGCATAACTTGACCATGACAAAATAGGCACAATGTCATTTTAATATCATAACCATGTTATTTTGAAATTTAATAGGGTGTACTTTCTCACAATAAAATATTGTTTCAACACTGAAATTAAAGTAACACAATTTGTATTAACATTTTAAATATCAAACGTCATACCCTCTATTAGTTTACATAAAAATTGGTCTTGCAATTCCACCAAAGTTGGGAATTATACTAAAGCCAAGAAAAAACTGTCTTGAATGATTTTCCTTTGAACAACATTCAACAAATAAAAGTTAAACGTTGAATGCATGATTTTGTGTAAATATTATCAACAGTGTTTAACACAAAAATTTAAGAAGCGTGTTCACTTTTATTACTAGTTTAGGGGAATGAGTACCTATCATATAGCATAAGATTATAAGAAAACCTAAAGAAATGGAAAACTTTTAACCTCTAAATTAAAGTTTTAAGTTTAATTATGTATGGTCAAACTATAAGAAAAAATAAAAAATAAATGATATACTTTCAAATTTAAAGTTTTATATTTGGATGGTGTTCACTATGTCTAAATCATTAAAAGAGGTTCATAATAATTTAATAAATAACCTATTCATTTATTATATTAAAATATTTATCTTTTTAGCCTTAGGTTGTGTAAAGTAAATAAAAGGTACAATGGAAAATAAATTTTACAATGAAAAGTGAACTACAACTTGTCAACTTAAAATTGCAATAAATTGTGTGACAAATACAATTTGTTATAAATCTGTACTATAATGTAGCCTATAAACAACATAGTCAAACAAGGACAAATATTTAAAATTAGTATTATCATTAATTTATTATTACTACTATTATCAATTCATTATTATTTTTATTAATTTATTATTATTATTATTATCATCATTAATAATTTATTATTATTATCATTATTATTATTATTATCAATTCATTATTATTATTTTTACTATTAATTTATCTATTAATTTATTGTTATCATTTTATTTTTATATAATGTTTATTAATTTACTATAATTATTATTATCTAATATCTTAATCATGTGACTGATGTTGCATTGAAGTCTGTATCTTTTAATTATTTGTGCATTATTTATTTATCAATTTCTATTTAATGTGATTTTAACCCCTTCTTATCCAACATAATTTGTTAATTATCATGCATACTTAATTTTACCATAAAAACAACAGGCCCTAAAATAAGGCAATGTATTCACATCTATGATAACAAATACTGAAATATAACTGAATAATTAATTTGTTCAACATGTAGATCTAAACCTAGCTTCCACATTGTAAAATAATGTATAAAATAAACATTTAAACAGGAAATACCTCACCTAATACTGTAAGGAACTAAACTACTAGCTCTACTAACATCAGTCACCAATTTATCTCATACAACAATTCATCAAATGTCAGGAGTCATCACAAGACGCTGCTGATCACCATCGCATTTATTTCCACATTTCCCATACAGACCAGTAGTGTATTGTCTTTAATCACATTCTTCCAATCTCGTCCAGCAAAAAGAAAATTATAGATCTATTTTGAAGATTTAAAAGCAAATAAAATATATTTTAAAACTGATTAATAATAACTGATATTATGAACGTGTTAGACTTATAGACACATTTTTTTCCGAATTCAGGACAATTAGCACAAGTTAACAAAAATTTATTGCTTCCACCATTCTTAACGCCATTGAAAATAGCAAAGTGCACCTAGCTAGATGAACCTTCCATCATTTTTTTCAAGGTTTTCATTACAATCATCATCGTTACCACACAGCGAATGATTTATCATTATAGCGAGATACAGACATAGCTAAATGAATAGCCGTGGGTGAAAGTAGATCCATGGATCGTCATAATAAAATTGTCAATTACAATTTACAGTACGGCAGCAGTCAGCATACAGTAAAGCTACACACAGTTCATTTCACAAAACAATGCATATAAATAATTTAAAATTAAACTGTTTTCGACAACAATCTTTGAAGATCTAAATCTGAATTGACTAATAAAACTTCTCTGTCCATATAATATCTTGCTTGATTCAGTGTTCCATGTTCCCACCAAAGACATCAAGAACAAATCCGCTTCAATCGTGGAAAATATCAACAAAATTGCTGCTTATAGGGCACACAGAAAATCACCGACGTCTTATCGATTCATATTTAAAAGATACTACTATCGATTGTTGTTTTGATCAGCGATTTTTTTCATTTTTTTCAACAATTCATTTCTTCCTTGTTACAATATTCGACGTCAGCGTTAAAAGGATATGACGTAGATACAGTACCTACGTCATAACCAGGGCAGGGTATAAGTTGTTCCCCAAATAACAGAGACTATTCTATAAAAATAGTCATCAATAAGGTCAATTTTCCTGTTTGTGTCCTTTGAGGAGCAATAACTCGGCAAAACGTGATGAGTTAAGGCCGGCTCAAAGAAAACCCTGACTTCTGTTCTGAGAAATTTTGGTTTAAATAAAAAAAAAACATAGAACTATTTGTAAGAAGACACGAAATTGTTGACAACTGATGTTATATGATATTTTACTGCATTTACCTTTCCTATTTTGGTACTTTTATAGTACAGTGACCAACAATGTCGACGAGGAGTTTATCTCGTACCATTAACATGTACAGAGAAACAGTTTGATGGTGAATGGCGTGGATTCGAATTCAACAAATGAGCCGCGTCACGACAAAACCAACATAATGGGTTTGCGACCAGCATGGATCCAGACTAGCCTGCGCAAACCCACTATGTTGGTTTTGTCGTGACACGGCTCAAATGTAGATATTGTAGATATTCTCTTCCGAACCTGTAATATTTTTGCTAGTGAAATTGCTTGTTTAAAATCCAGGAATGTGTCATCCGGCCTGTCATAAATAGCATGTATATTGCGTAAGTCACCTTAAAGGTGTTAAGAGTCAACAGGAAAACAAAAACAAACGGACATGCATAATTTAAGATAATACATAATAGCACGCATCGAACAAAAAAGTATTAATTAAAGAGATGTAACTGTTTCCTTATTCGTGACTAATGTAATTCAATAGTTTTTTCCCTGAATAAGGCTGCTGCTAACTGCTAAAACTGGTAAGGATTATGTTGTAAACTTACAAGGGATGATCATCGACTAACAAACGTTTGCAGAGCTCAGCCCTCGCTTGTCTTATCTTTTATTTTATCTATAGAAGATTTTTCTTCACGTATTCAAGCAACGTATATATGAACATAAGGCATTGGAGAAATATTCTCTCACAATAACGTTGTATATAATAAAATATTACCTAAAACGAAATAAGATTTTATGAGATATTCGTTGGCATTTTCAGAAAACAGTTGATTAGACACACATATGTATGTGTATACATTGTGAGTTGCCCCCCGATGATCGTGATCTCATGCTAGAAACTTATTGCTCATTCATAATATTGACTTTAACAAAAACAGGAAATTAAATTCTGTTTTTCCTTTCGTTCAAAGTACCAGGCTGTTTAAAGGGGGTTCAATTTATTTAGGATAATGATTTGATTACTGACTAGAAAAATAATTCAGAAGTAATGCAAGCATTTCCTATTAAATGTGTTGTTGTTGGAGATGGGTATGTTTATATTTGTGTTTTATATTTTAATTTTCTTATATGAACATTCATAATTAATATTCTGATAAAAGGTTGATGTGTCTTTTTTAACTGTTATGTAAACATTTGTCATAAATGATTTTATATTGCTTATAGCTTGTCGAATTATAATAAGTTTTAATTATAAAATATCATTCTAGTTCTTGACAATGGTCACACCACACATTTAATTATAATTTCGCAGCAACTTTTATTCATTTGTTGAAAACGTGTAACATCTAGTTTAATGTACACAATTATGATTAACGAATAAGCCAGCAAATATAAATATTTTTTTTTGTTTAAAGTCAGAAAACTTATTTCCTAATTTTCCTAATTCTCACTGCAAACAACAAATTAACATACGCTTGTATAGATATGAACATAAAGACACACGATTATAATTATTGGCGTCAAACGAAACACATTAATATCCCTTGGTAACAACAAGGCAGCCGCTCCTTTAAAATGCAATTAAAATAAGGCAGTTATTTATTTATATCTCAAAACAAACCATTGTTTAGTTCAACCATTGTTTTGACTAACAATAGCGCAAATAACATTGCAGGAACGTTGGGAAAACATGTCTTCTAATGAGTTATACACAGGATGCGTTTCCGGGGGAATACATACCCACAGTGTAAGATAATGTGTTCTTTTATCCAACAATACATACCTACAGTGTATTTTAATGTGTTCGTTTATCCAACCATACATATCTACAATGTAAGATAATGTGTTCTTTTATCAAACAATACATACCTACAGTGTATTTTAATGTGTTCGTTTTTCCAACCATACATATCTACATTGTAACATAATGTGTTCATTTATCTAACAATACATATATATCTACAGTGTAAGATAATGTGTCCATTTATCTAACAATACATACATGTATCTACAGTGTAAAATAATGTGTTCATTTATCTAACAATACATAACTACAGTGTAAAATAATGTGTTCATTTATCTAACAATACATACCTATAGTGTATTTTAAGGTTTTCTTATCTTAAAATGTGTCATTTGTTTCTAGTCATATATTTAAGAATGTTCAGTTTACGACTGTCGGGATTTCTTTCGTCTACATATTTATTATCAAAACATAAATATAGTTATTGAATTTCAAATAATTAAACTACTTAATTAGATTTATAAATGAATATAAAGATTTTTTTTGAGAATTGGAGAGACATTATGCGTGATCTGTTTTTTCGATCATTAAATCGGATAGTTCCATATTTTGCCTCCCTCATTAAATATTTTGATTTTACACATTTGAAAAACAGCGGTAATTAGACGAAAACATGAGCGAAACATACCGAATTAGGTCTGTACCTTACGTTATTCATATATTCGTCACTATATCTATTAACAGCTTTGATCATTACCAAGCTAATGTAATGGTAGATGGACGAGTATGTTCACTGACGCTATGGGATACAGCGGGACAAGAAGATTATGATAGACTCAGACCTCTGTCCTATCCTCTCACTGTAAGATTATCTCTTTATATTCACTGAATTAGGTGCAAAACTGTAATGACAAGAAACCGTTTCTTATTAATCAGCAATCTAATATGAATGCAGTTGTACGTACGAGCAATAATCAAAGTTGTATCATAGTTTTGAGACATTTCTGTTGAAAATGTGTCAGAATTAAATTGTATACCCATACATGTACAGTGCGTTAACTAAGTGCAGACTCACTTCCGTTACCGCACTGTCTGTCGGGGATAAGTATAGCAGCATGCTCTTTGAATGGCTCATTTTTTTCTGGGGTTCACTTATTGTGACGACAGGGAACACTGGGGAAAGAGATAACAATAGAAGTCACATTTAGAGGCTCGCAATCGGTTATTTTTTCTAGCGTTTCTTTTTGTGACAACAGGGATTTTTTTGTTATTTTTGCCTACGATACAAAAGAGAAAGAACATCAAAATACTTGACAATCTGATTTATACTCGTCGGTTATAACCCCTTGTCTCGTACAAATCAGATAGCCTCGTGTTTTGATGCTATATACTACTTTATAATTTGTTTGCTTGTTACATAACGAATTTGCCACTGATGTGTTAGTCATATTGTCTATTTCGGAAATAAAGGTCCTTGTCTCTGTTATAATTGTATCCTCTAGTCAGTTAAGAGTTATTGTTCAATATGAACTGTTTAAGCTCAACATTAATAATACATGATATGAAACAAATCTCAGGCAAAGACATTTTTTTTTCATAAAAAATAACCCTTCCTCAAAGTGTAATGAATTTGTTATACTACGAATAAAATGTGGTATTGCTTTTAACATGAACATTTCACTTTATACACATTCATTTTTTGACTGAAACGGATTATTTTGACTATTTAAAATTGGTAAAATTCAATACAAGAAATGAAAAATTTACCCAAGAAACTAGGGATGTCTAAAAATAACGCAAATAATCAATATAAATATTTTGAAAATATAAATTTATAATGAATATACTGTATATATGATATCATGCTTTTATAGTAAATAAAGCTTATGAATGCACTCATTTTGAAGAATACAGAATGAGTAAAGATATTTGTTAATAACTGAAAATACAGATGAGGCATGCATGTGTTTAGTCATTAAAAGCCGGCCGAGTTATGTGCAAAATTGTATCGATATTGAAATGATGCGTACTTCATATTTTAGTTTTTACAACAGCATATTATTTGTTACATACCTTATAATTTCAGGATGTATTTCTCTTGTGTTTCTCTTTAGTGAGGCGAGACAGTTTTTCAAATATATTACAAAAGGTATGGTCAGACACTTCATAACATTAACTATAGTTCTTTATAGAGACACACCAATTTAGTAGTTGACTATAATACAATTTATTATCTTATAACAAACAATTTACCTGCCGAGCATTGAATCTGCTCATCTTTGAATTTGAAACATTTTATTCAATATGGTAAGTAAGATCAACATGGAAAGGTGGCGTTAAATGAACGCAACCCCACACGACCCAGCAACAGGGACCAGTGGCCGGGAGCCACAGAGATACTTTCAGGGATTTTGATATTAAAATAAAAAAACAAACCATTAGCTTCCAATAGTTTACAGCCTGGTCAGACTGCATGCATGTGCTCCATGCTGGTCCTTAAGGCTTAATTACCTTTGGTTCCAGCTGGTTTAGTTAAGAAATATGCTTATTCTGATACAATATGCATTGACATAACAAAAAGTATGCAAGTCTATGAAATAAAAATCATAACTTTTAATTTACATATACGCGAGCTTTATGATATTTTATCTTGTTTTAAAACCTTAGAATTTACATGGCAGGATAATCTATAGTTTGTTTCATGATATTTTTAACAATAACAATCTTTACGTATTACTGTATTACAAATTTTCTTGAACCAAAATTTATTAAAGTGTAATTTGACTGGGGACAGTAACTGAAACCGGCTTTCTCTTTACAATGGACGGGTTCAATTTGATAATTGTGAAAAGTAAGGCATTTTTCCTACTGTTGTTAGTGGTATCCAGAGATCAAACACCATTGCCCCGAGCCTCCTGTCGTATTAGTAGGAACAAAAGAAGACCTGAGAGAGCAGGGTGGACAAGACAATGGATATAAAGGCTATGTGACAACATCTGAGGTAATATGTTTATGAAAAATGTCTGTATCATCCAAACCACTGAAATAAAAAATGAAACAACATAGTTATTGTAAATAATGTTAACATCAAACTTAATAACTGATAAAATAATAAGCTGTAACGCCATGTATATCCAGTAATGAAGCATTGTGAATTTAACGCCGATGTGTGCAAATCTATGACCGAGAAGAGAACAGCGCCAAGTAATTTCATAGTAGGAAGTCAAAATGAAAGTAATGCATTAGTTTATACGGTAGCTTAAACATTATATTTTAAACTTCACTAAACTATTTCTAAAAGAATTTACCTTTCAAGATAACGACCTGGCTATTGTATTGAAAGCAGCTTATGTGTTTCGTCGATATTATTAATATAATAACGCACATATTACATTATTTTGATATTCGCATTACCTAACACATTTGTCAAATTACCAGTGTCATATAATACTGAAATAAGCAAAGACACTTTTTATGAAGTAACGCTAAGTTTGTGAATGATGTTATTTCGTGAATGATGCACCGAGGTAACGCTTGTGACTTTATAAAAGTTAACTGTTATCTTTCAATATCATATGGCTTAAATGTCTGAGGCATACCGAAAATCAAAACAAAAGTGTTTGTGCTTTCTAATGCTTATTAATGACAACGAAACACAAAAGTCGCCGCCAACGTGGTTCCAGGTCGTCAGTCTAAACAGTTAAGACCTCCGAGTAACATTGTTCAAATGATATTGTTCTGACAGTACGGTCAAAAACTGAATGAAAAAAGGTGTGATACATCATCTGATACAGGCATAGCAATTTTAAGTACCAAAACCTATTATATAAGAAAATTTGTTTTATAACATAAGAAACCATAAAACCTATGTCTTGTATAAATAAATTTGGAGTAATGTTGTTTTTTTAAATGTTCCTGTCCTAGTGTTTAATGATATATCCAATGTTTTAGTACCTTAGTTTAATCGTTGCTTAAAATGTCTTCTGGTCTGAGGAACAAACATATTATTGGTGTGCACACATTTTGAGAATGTGTAGCATTTTGCAGTACTTAAATTCTTTAAAATCTAATTCTAACGGCGTTTTAATAGGATACTTCAACATTTAACCTGTATCATATCGTGAATATAAAAGAGAAATATAAATACATGTATAAAAGGTTGGTTACAAATCTTTTTTTTTTTAGATTGGTAAAGTACTGTATCAAATGATGTGTTTATTTATTTAATTTTATACTGTTTACATTGATGAGACTATTATAATATAGATACAAACAATTATAATGCTGGTAAAAATATGATATCTTAACAGCCGTATGCGCTAATTGATTTTCTTAATTTTCTTTTTCGATTAGATTTACTATAATTTGGTTTAATAATTTTCCGTGTTGTTTTTAAAGGCAATAGATTTGCACAGATTTCGCGTTACTTTTCACAGTTTCTGTGTTATTTCCACATTCCTGATAAATTGGGTAAACAATGCGTTTTACAGAAAAAAAAGCGTTTATCGACAAAATGAAATACTTGCAGCATCAAAATCCATAGTAACTGTTACATAAAATACATTTTACGGCAAATTCGTAAGTTATATCAGCTTTTGTTTTACTTACAGGGAGCTAGTTTAGCCAAGCAAATTGATGCATTTAAATATTTAGAATGTTCAGCAAAGACTCAGAAAGGTGTAAAATTTGTTTTTGATGAAGCTATTAAAGCAGTTTTCAACCCAAAGAAACCGAAAAAGAAAGGAAAGAAGAGATGTGTTATTCTCTGATACAGGCTTTAAATGAGGATTAAAACCGTTACAGTTCTTCTTTATTGATCTCTGATTAAAGACGGAAATGTCAGGGTCAGAATCAAGAATTTACCAAACCATATGAAGTTTCAAAATATTACATATCATTGCACTGAATAAAGTTATGTCACAAACATGATTGTGTTCTTTTTTCTAAGGGATTCTTATCAATAAATATATAATCGATTGTCATAGCATTGAAATAAAGCTTGACCATATCATAATGTCACAGAACAAAGCCGAAAACAACCGAAAGCATTATATTAAATTGTATCATAGTTTAGGTACTTTCTGTTGTAAAAGTGTCAGAGTTAAATCGTATACATATACATGCACAGTGCGGTGCCTCGTGTTTCGGTGCTCTTTCTATTACTAAATGTTTTCTTGTCCATACATAAAATCGCTATGTTGATGTATTCAAACTTAAAAGAAGTGATTCAACAATTCTATTACAATACGGGTATGATACTTATTCAATGTTTAACTTCTCCAATTATACCAGTACTATTTTTCACATGAATTATAATCTTGTTACCCTGAATGTGTTTAGACGAATGATATACATGTGCATATATATCGAGCATAGAAACATAGCAAAGATAAACTATACAGAAACCTTGATCGGTTATAAGACTGTTTTATTCTTATATAAACATCCACTTTTGAAAGGGAAACAATTGTTTGGATTAAAGAAATACAGTCAGTAAACACATGTGTGGGTTTTAGAATACAGTCAATTTTCAACAGTTAGCAAGGAACTTTATGTTATAACTTTACCTATTGATATGAAAATATCGTTTATGTTTAGTTCCTAATTACTTGCTGGTTCTTTTATTAAATGGGGGAAGTTATGCAGTGAGAGATAAAGAAATAATTGATTTATGGTCAGTGAAATTTGAAATTTTCAAAATGAAGATATTGAAATATTAATTCAAGTATAGTTTCCCTATCGGTGCCCGGGCATCTTCTTTCTTTTGATAGGAGTGGTAAGTTTTTTGTTGGGGGAAGTGGGGGTTTTTGGGGGTGTTTGGGCGAGGGGTTGTGTGCGGCGTGGGGGTTTGTGTGTAGAGAGTGATTGGTTTTGGGCATGTGGGGTGAGGGGGCAGTGTGTGTGCAGTGGAATTTGGGGCAGGTGAGGGGTAGTTTTAGGCGATTTGGTTGTGGACGGCAAAGGGGTGGGTAATGGTGAAGGGGAAAAAAATGCAGGTGAGTGGTAGAGTTGAGGCAAGTGGGTATGTTGTGTGTGGGAGGCAAGTGGGTGTAGGCGAGGGGGGGGGAGTTTTGTGAAAGCGAGGGTTTTGTGAGGGGAGGAAGTAAAACATTTAAAATCTTGTTTTAAAATAGTTACCTCATTCTTTGTTATTAATTATGGCATTATTTTGTCTACGAAATATATATATATGTATCTATATAGTTACGTACATTTCTTTCGACAATCATCAACTCCGCTCTCATCTATACTGCTGACAGTTTCCTTTTTACTGATATTAACGATAACATATATCATATTCATAAAGCGAATTGAATTCATCCGGTATAATGATATAACATGTCCCAATACTTAAAGTCATTGATTATATAAAGACAAAAAGCCGTGTCTTGTAAGATATCTTTTCTGTTATATAGTCAATTATGAACTGAAAATACGGCTATAATTAGGGTTGTACCATTTAGTCTTGTAAAACGTAATTTTTAATTGTTTAGGACATTTTGAATTGAAGAAACTTTTTACAACTGAAAATGTTGACTATAGTGTTATATTATATAAGATATCTTACAAATGTTTATGTCTATAAACTATTAATTTAGATCCGGATCTTTCAAATAGAAGATTATGTTTAGATTACGAACAATTCTCATTTTATATAAAAACATACAACAGCCTTAAAGCATTGTATAAATTAAGCGTATATGTTTAATAGAATATCAATATAGTCATATTTAGTCTAACAATTTATTACTACTGGCGTACATAACAATAAATTACAGCGCAAAGATAATAATACTTGAACGTTTTCTGTACTTCAAACTATAAACTTGCTTAAGATCGCTTACTTCCTGCTGAAAAGGAAGTTAAACTGTTCAACATGTAGCTACAAACACTTAAGTTTACCACTTTAACATCTTCCGTATACAGTACTACTTTTGTTGTATCACGTGAATTATTTGTGAAAAATCATAAAAGTAGGACAGGATGAGCATTTGATTAGTTAATGGATTTCATGATTTACACAATACAATATACAGGAAAATTTCTAAACAAAAATAGCTGTTGTTAAAAATGCAGGCTATAAAATGTGTGGTAGTCGGGGACGGGTGAGTAACGTTTTTAATAAACCTTGATTTTGTTTATTTATAATTTATCATGTTTTACTCTTTGTTAAAGAACCCGTTTAAATGTAAATTGTTTTCTATGACTATAATATTATATACTTTATCAATTTATCATTGACTGCATGTTTGTATTGTAAATTGTATTTTCATCTTTTAATGAGCGTTAGAGTTGTGTGCCGCTTCAGATGTTTTTGATAATATTCATAAAATCATTTACCCATGTTAAAGTAACATAATTAAGTCAAGGAAAAAAGTAAATATAAGAATCTTAAACAAACATTAACTTAATTAACAAACAATTGATTGTTTTTAAGAGACGCGAATTGTTAAAATGAAGGCGGCATTTAAAAAATTGTACATCGAACAACTATAATTTGTAAGAAGGATTTTAATAATAATGCATCGTTAACTCAGCATTGTTGCGGACTTTTAAAAAAAATTCTTCGACTTTAGTCTTTACTTTATAAACGAAAGCCTAAAAATAAATTGTGAAACTATTTACCTCCCTTGGCGTTGTTATATTTTTGTGAAAATATTTAAATAACCTCAATGGCTTGTCTAATCATTTCGGTCAACCAATTATTTTGTATTCAAAATGTTGTATGTTAGATTTATTTGTCTTAAAATATGCTTCACTAGATAGTATATCACATTTTTTTTAATACCAGAGCCGTGGGAAAGACATGTCTTCTTATAAGTTACACAACAAACGCTTTCCCGGGAGAATATATTCCTACAGTGTAAGTACATTATCATCACTTTAACAACAGTTAAACAATATAATTGGATTCATATGGTTGCTTTACACAGAAAAACTGATTTTCTCTAAAATAGTTAGAATGTTTTCTTTATGCCTCTTAACGTATAATGCAACAATATGTATATAAAGAATAGAAAGAAGTTTTTTTTTCTGTTTTTTTCTTTAATAGAAACATATACATTTCCAAAACGATAACACACTTGATATTTATCTGTTACTTTGATGGACAAGCTGCGACGGCGACAATGTGTGTTTTTACTTTTACTTATTTATTACTAGCTTTATGTTTCGATCAATTTAACAATAATATGGTATGAATGTTTTATTTATTTAAAAGATTTGACAACTATTCTGCTAATGTTATGTTTTATTTATTTAAAAGATTTGACAACTATTCTGCTAATGTTATGGTTGATGGTAAACCTATCAATCTTGGACTCTGGGATACAGCCGGCCAGGAGGACTATGACAGACTCAGACCCCTGTCCTACCCACAAACCGTAAATACATAATTATATAACATAGCTAGCTTTAAGAGCAATCGTACGTATGTAAAAGTACAACGTATCAATTATAAAATTGAATATACATTTTGTAGTTTTCTAGAAATATTTAAACTGAAAACTTTTAATGAGATTCAAAAGGGCCTGTTGTAGAAGCGAATAAAGTAGGTTGATTTGTTTAAAGACTTTCTTCGCGTTTGCTATAATCATTTTAGTATATAAGAGCCTTAATTTACATAAAATCTTTAAGTGTTGATCATTTTACTTGCATATTCATGAAAGTATAACATGTAAACACAGATTCATTTATAACATGTAAACATATTATTTCATTTCAGGATGTCTTCCTTATTTGCTTTTCACTGATTAGCCCGGCAAGTTTCGAAAATGTACGGGCGAAGGTAAATTATATTGTGTTTTCTCATGTATCATTTATGTTCCTTACAATGAAAAAAAATGAATGCAAGTGAAAATAAAATCAGTGATTACAAACTCATAAATATAATCATTGTTTTCCAGTCAATATCTTCTGCGTAACACATGTATATAAATACAGTACAAATGTTTATAGGTCAACTTGTCTATTGAATGCACAAACGGAAGATATTTGATTTCAGACGATTATTTTAAAGTTTATTTTATCTGTTCTGTTACCCGGTATTTAGAGCTCATTTTAATCAGATTGACAGAAAAGTAGATTAATATGAGTCTCTGATATGTTAACATATATAGTTTTTTCACAACTTGACTTGATTTTTTTTCATTCTCTAAAAAATAGTACGGAAGGTCACAAGAAATATCTTTATACCAGTACAAAATGTAGTTAAATGACATAAACAACGTAAATGTGCTTTTTTAAAAAAAAAACATGTATAAAATACACACTGGCCTAAGTGATATGTCTATATATGTATTATATGGAGGCGTTCGAAGGTACTTGTGCATTTTATGATGAATGTTAAACCCTCTTAATGTGATTTAAAATATATGATTCAGGCCAGTATGTAGTATAATATGGTTGTAAATCACACCCACTTTCTTCATGTTACTTAACATTTTATACTGGTGAAAAATAGACACCACAAGCCCTTCCTTGTATTATCTATTTTTCGGTTTCATATAAAGGTATCTTATAAAAATATTAATAATTTGTTTACACATACAATGTATATTATGTCCTTAAAAACTGCACATGCACGTGAATTAAAGGAGATTGATAAAAGCAATTGAGTATGCGCCATAGTTGCGGAACTTTTTTTTCGTGCATAAACATCTGCAAAAGCGTTCGGAATTTATTAATAAATCCCTTGCCCTATGGGATCTGGCTTTAAATGCGTCCTCATGATTGCACAAAAAAACGGTGCCTCTATTATTAATTGATAATTTTCATCAGCAAAAATGTTTCCCTTGTAATTTCAATATCCTTCTCCAAACGAATCAATTTAAGGTTTCATTTAAATACGATCAAAAACGTAAATAAGAAGTGAAATGATTTAATATATACTTGTAAATGAAATACTGAGAAATATTGATAGAATAAAATACGTATTTTCATCTTCCATATTTTCACTTTAAAAAAATATTTTTCACTGCAGTGAAACATATTTTCCGTATTTTCACTGGTGTCTTGCCGAACTACTTTCTTCAAAATTCGGCTAATATACAAACGTTTAGAGGAAATCTTTCAAATTGTAATGTTAAAAAAAAGAAAAATGTTTACATGTATAATAAACAGAAAATTCAAGTGTTTTTTTTTTCTATGAATACATAATTTATATAGAAAAAACCTGAATATCCTCTATTAATATTATGTTATAGTGGTATCCCGAGGTAAACCATCATTGTCCCGACACGCCCATCATACTAGTTGGTACCAAGCTCGATCTGAGGGATGATAAAGATACTGTAGAAAAATTACGAGACAAGAAACTAGCACCATTGACTTACCCACAGGTTAGAACAACCAATTATTTCATACTTCTAGTTGCTTCATTTATTATCAGGGTCTTTCAAATAGAATGGGCTGGAGTCGGACCAATTTTACGAAAAAGGTTGTCTCGGCTGAGTCACGTGATAAGATATTTGAAAGACCCTCCTAATATTAAAAGTGTAAAAATCTTTTTTTCTAAGAAATGCATTAAACTTGTCATGATTTTGAAGTACGAAAGTGGTTAAATTGAAATACATGTACATGTATATACCAATAATATACTCTGTATGCAACTTATATTTGTATATTTATTATATGCAGTATCATAACGATAAGTATTATGTTGTAATTAAAGGAAACGAATGTGCTAGAGATAAACAACATTGTTAATAAGTTATGTCCTTTATACAATGAAATTTCCCTTTATACAATGAAACGCATCAATTTTGAGAACATTTATAAGATGTTAGCATACTTTTCAAGTATATAAGTGCATTTTGTCGACTAAAAATTGCAGAATTATAGAGAACAGACTCTTATGTGACAAATAATGACAAATTATTAGATGTCAGCATATATGATGTTGTTTTTTTCATCGTTAAAGTTATGTTTGATGTATGTATAAGGCGACACAATAAGTATATCAAATAGTTGTACAAGTGTATTCGAAGTTCATTACTTTAAAATTAGTTAATAAATAGAGGATATTTCATCCAATGAGCACCAAAAGGTATATTTCACGAGTGGCGCAGTATCGAGTGAAAGATGAACTCATTGTATTCACGAAATTGATGCGTTTCATTGAAAATTTCATTGTGTTTCTCTGATATTTTTCTATAAACCACCGAAAAGCATGTAATAAATAATTGTTTATACCTTAAATGTTCGGTCAATGACTCGTTCTCTATGCGCCTTGGTCATTCTTATTTTCCAACATTACGTTACTCATATCAATTCCAGGGTCTCGCATTGGCTAAAGAAATAAATGCTGTGAAATACCTGGAATGTTCAGCGTTAACACAGAAAGGGCTAAAGACTGTTTTCGACGAAGCCATACGAGCGGTTCTTTGTCCACGACAGAAAAAGAAACCAAAGGGAAGCGGATGTCTACTAATATAAACGTTTAAAGAATGTATACATGCTATTAAAAAGTACCACTAAAAATCATCCATGTTTAAAGTGTTAAAATGTAACGTAAACTACGAATATGTCTCGATAAGAACATGTAATAACTTTATTCCATGTCCACCGTAACAAAATCTTAACGTGGTGTATCGTTCCACTGCATTGCAACCATTGAATATTTCAAAGTTTTCATTATAAACGCTTTTAGTCGATTGTGCGACATTGTGAGTTTACCAGAGCAAAATATTTGAAGTTCGTGTATTAACACAATTAATTATGCTGCAACATAAACAATATATTACCCTAATGCGAAGAAAATAGATGTTACTCGACAAATGTGGGTTTTCCCGTCTTATCCCGTGACACAAATGATCAGTTACCCCTATATAGCTACACGGTGCAGAGTGACTTATCATCGATATATTTATGTACCAAGTTGTTATAGTAAAAGTTTGTTTTGTTTCCCGGGATAAGATTGGGGAAACACAGCATTTGTCGACTTCCGGAGTATCTATATAAAAAAAATCTTGATATAAACAATTGTGTATTATATTCATAGTCACTTTAAATACAAATCTAACAACTTGTCGTTGTGACTTAGCGGACGGAATATTTATTAGTCTACAACGGGATATTACAAAAACGTACATATAACACGGATTTGAATAAAACTTCCGTGCTTATAATGAGGCTAGAAAAACAACGTGCAAGTTTGCTAATTCAAAAGTGACAAATTAAGAAATTAAGTGGAATAAAGAAAGATTATTGCCGATATAGTCAATGCATCTTTATGTTCCAGATGATTCGTTTTTAACAACCAATAAAAACATTCATAATTATGTGTGTGTAATTTAGCACTGAAGTGTTTATATTCATTTAAAAAGTTAAAACATATATGACAATTTTCTTGATTTTTACATCACAGCGCTTTAATCATTCGATTTGGGTTCGACTAACTTATATTTAATATATTCGGAACACCTTGCTGATTATAAATAATCCTTATAATTATCCGAAGTTCAGCGGAAAAGTGCCGGAACGTTGGCTGACATGTATTTGAATGAACTGTATTGTTATGCTATCATGTTAAATATGATTTAATCAAAATTAAAATTTTAATGAGAGTTGTTGTTAATGTTTTCATTTTGTTTGTGAAAATAGTGCACACAATATATTAATTGTTTTAAATATACTTGTTTATCCGAGAAGTGGATAATGTTAATCTTCTATTTCATTATTTGAAAATATTTTTCGGCATTAGTTGTCATTTAAAGATCCTGTAACTCATTTTTTATGGTTTTATATCATAAATATAATGCTAAAATAAAGATTTATCAATATTGTTAGTTCCAAAATGCATTATTTATAATGATATTACCGAATTTACATTTCATGTTAATAAAGGGAGGTAATTAGAAATTAATTTTCTATAAAGTCTAAGTCAAATTTTTCAATAAGAAATGAATGCATAAATTAAATGATTACATATAAAGGTGGACAAATATTTGCAGTACATATTTTACATATTCTTTGATGTTTGAAGCTTGTTTTAGAAGCATAATTAATTTCACTTAAGTGCGGTAACAACCTTAATTTCAACATACAGGATCTTTAAGAGCTCAGCATATCACAAGGTAGATAACTAGGTAAGTATACGGAGAACACAACGAGCTTGCAAATAGTGCGTTGTTTACTGGTCGATATAGTTCTATATAATGTTAAAAAGATTTTATGCTTATGAGCTCGTCCATTATCCAAATGACTTCATATTACAAATATTACTTGTGAAATTCGAATGAAAATTGTCTTTTTAGATGCAGGATCTATAACATTCATTATTAACACCATGATACAAGAATCATTTTTGACGTGTACTGGTGAAATTTAAAAATCGCTCTACTTATTTACTGTAAGAAAATAAGGAAAATAACTAGTTGTTATTGAAAGTCATTTGTTGCTATGGAAATCGCTGGTTGCTACGAACGTCATCTGTTCCTTTGGAAATTTAATGGCTGCTGTGATAGTCATTGGCAGCTATTTAGTCAATTTCTGCTATTTAAGTCTGTGGTTGCTATAAAAAGTCATTAATTAGTAGCTATGGAAGTCACTTGTAATAGAAGTAATTCCCTTAAGTGGCTAAGAAAATTCCGAAAGTTACTAATGGGTTGAAATAGAAAATCTAAAATTGAAAATGAAGTTACTGGGTGTTATTTAAAGTCAATGGCTGCTATGGAAGTAACTGGTTGTTTTGTATTGTCAATAGTTGCTATGGTAGTCACTGGTTGCTTAGGAAAGTCAATGGTTGCTTTAGAAGTCTTTGGTTGCTACGGCTTACATAGAAGTCACAGTTTTGACATAAGTATCTGTCGAATGTGAATTATCACTTATTGCTCACGGGGGAGGAAGTGTTACACGAAGGATGGAGTTCTTATGATAACTTGTTCAGGAGTTCTTATGATAACTGTCACGGAGTTCGTAGGAAAACATATGTATATACTACAAAAACACTCATCAAAAATGGTTATTTTCATCTTTCCAAAATGAGTTTTAGGTGCTAAATTAAACTTTAATGATTAAGATTGTCTTACATCTTGTATTATGTGTCAAAAACTAATTCACAGGCTAATTTCCATCGCCTCTTGCTTCAAATCTGGTAGTTTTGAGTAAAATTTCCAAATTACTTGCCAATTCACAAGTTTTGACCGGTTTATTTCTGGAATTCATCCTTTCCATACATAATTACCTATTTATAATGCAAAATTGCAAATATAAAGCACCGGCTTACAGATTTATACCCGATTTTTCAAATGTCCCGGAGTTCTTGTGATAACTCTGAAGATGTCACAGAGTTCTTATGATAACTTTTGCTATTGCTAGTGTGTTTCTTTGGCTAAATCACGGCACGTTTTGGCGTTTATTATCATTCAATAAGATTGTAAATCATTATGAAATGCAGTACGATCATCCATTGCACAAAAAATGTGGATACAACGTTGGTCTCAAGTGTCTGCAAAGGATAAATAGGTGATAGGCTATCATCTACAGTAGTAAAATTGAACCCAGCAGCCACTGATATTCAGCAGTATAATGGCTTAAACAACAAAACAAAAATGTCCTCCAAAAACGTACACGTTGTTCTCAGTTTCACATGTTTTAAGCAAACCACCTGTTCTTTAAGCAGAACAATATATAGGCCCCATGCTTCCCTTACCTAAAGGGCTAAGTAATTTTGTATCATTTTTTTATACCAATAAATAAAATAAGTTATATAACCAGGATAATTTCCAAAACCTATATCTCTAAAAAAGTACGATACATGATAAAAAAACTGGCGTTGACCTCTAAACTAACCAATCCTCTTCGAAAAAAAAAATTTGAAACTGTTCGCCTCAGGTTTTCCCCAAGAAAATTTACCTAGAATGGGATTTTATTGTGCATGGGCATTCAAACTAAATAATTCCCCCAGGTGGTTGCCTTTTGTAAAGTGTCGCCGCAAAGTTCCTGCTAATGTAAACTTTAAAACAACAGACAAAACTCTGAAACATATTAAAATCGCTGTACTAATATAACTGCTGTTTATTACATAGAAAAACAAAATGTTTTTCTCTGATTGATGCAAGTAAAACATAGAATGCTGTAACTGAGAAAAAATAGACTGTAAATGGGCCTGGAAATGAAAATGATTTAAAGGGGGCCAGAAACCTGCTAGGGGCCGGAAACCTGCGCAAGGAAAAAACCAGTAACATAAAATCATTTTTTTCAAAGTCTTAACGAAATCTTCAGTCAAACAAAAAAGAATACTATCGAAAAAGAAAACAAGGGGAAAGAAAAAAATATCTTCTTTTGAACTAAAATTTCACTTCAAAAACCAACGTTTTATATATCCTATTTTTTTTGCGCAAAGGATGAAGCGTACCTACATGTTGTCATAATGATTTTCACCATCACTCAAAATGAGATAAACTAAAAAAAACGCTAAAACGAACGGTGCCGTGATTTTTAGCGGCAAGGACAACACACTTGCAATAACAAAAGTTTTATCAATAAGAAACTCTGTTGACATTCCAGAGTTTATCAAAAGGAACTCCGGGACATTTTTTGAAAAATCGGCTACAAAAGTCCTGTTAGCCGAATGCTTATGGTTTTGCAAATTTTTTGCAATTATAATTAGGTAATTATGTAGATGGAAAGGATGAAAGGACCCAGAAATAAACAAGGTCAAATACTTTTTTTTAAATTTTTGGCAAAAAATTTTTAAAACCTCAAAACTAACCCAAAAAATTTAAAAGCAAGGGGCCCGATTAAAAAGGGCCCTGTGAATTATTTTTTTTTGACACATAATACAGGGTTTGTAAGACAATCTTAATCATTAAATTTTAATTAGCACCCCCAAAACTCAAATTTTTGGGAAAAATGAAAAAAAACCCCCTTTTTTTTTAAAGAGTGGTTTTTTTTAGTATATCAGATTTTTTTTTTCCCTTTTCGAACCCCCGGGGGAAAAAGTTTCAAAAAGAAAAATCCTGAACAAAATTATCATAAGAAATCCCCTCCTTCCCTGTAACACTTCCTCCCCCCCTGTTTTTTTCCCTTTAAAAAAGTAAATGGTTGCACCTTTACAATTTAAATGAACAGAAGCAAATTTGGGTTAAAAGGTTGTTTAAATTTAAAGTTTACAGTTCTGTGACTCCAAAGGGGCTTTAGACCAAATTAAAGTAAGCTTTCAAAACACACCATAAATCTAAGAGATTTTCAGACGAAAAACTTTTAGAAGCCGATTTTAATATATGTCTATAGGGCAAAAAACCAATTTGACAAACCAAAATGGGGCAGAACAAATTCTGAAAGCCAATTCTGATTTGCTTTTAGCTTTATGGGAAAACAATAATGACCCCTTTAATGAAAGTTCATTGTTTTGCTAATGCAAAAATCAAAGGTTTTACTTGAAAGAAACTGAATGCTTTATGAAATTCCATTGAAATAGATTTTCACACGTTCCTAAAGTAAAGTTAAATGGGGTTTGATTATGGAAGTCACTGGGTTTACTATGTTAAGTACGAAAAGACCGGTAGGCAATTTTTTTTCAACTTTTCACATGAATTTTCCCGATATCAGCTTCGGTGAATTCCGATTTTTTCAACCCTTCAACGGAATTCACTGATTTTCAAACTTTCAATGAATTTCACGATTTCAAAACTTTCAATGAAAGTTTCCCGAATTTTCAACTTCAAAGAAATTTTTCCACGATTTCAACTTTCCATGAAGTTGAAAAAATCGTGAAGTTGAAATTGGTCTGAATTCCCGTGGAAGTTTTTGAAAAAATCGTGAATTTCGTGGGAAGTTTTGAAATCGTGAAATTCACCGAAGTTGAATTCGGGTGAAAGTTGAAACGTGAATTTTTCATGAAAGGGTTGAAATTCGTTTGAATTCCGTGAAGTTGAAATTCGTGGGAATTTCGTTGAAGGGTTTGAAATCGTGGAAATTTCATGAAGTTGAAATCCGCTGAAATTCCCTGTGAAGTTTTGAAAACGTGGAAAATTACGAAAATTGAATTTTGGGGAAGGGTTTTTAAATTTGTGAATTCCCTGAAAAATTGAAATCCCTGAATTCCCCTGAAGTTTTTAAATCATGAATTTCCCTGAAGTTGAAAAACGGGGAAAAATTGTGAAGTTGAAAATCGTGAAATTTCATTTAAGCCTTTTAAATCGGGGAATTCCTATTTTTGGGAAAAAGGGGAAATTTAAAAAAAAGTTTTTAAATTTTTTTAATTCATTTAAAAAAGAAAAACCCGGGGAAATTCCAAAGAAAATTTTTAAAATGGGCCCCCCGGGGCCTTTTCCCCTATGTTAGTCACCCGGTTTTCTATTTTTAAATTTTTTCGATTGTTATGAATATTTTAAAAGACCCGCAAAAAAATCCCAAAGGGTTTTTTTATGGAAAGGGAGGGTTTCTAAAGGAAAAATCAAATTTGGGGTTTTTTTTTTTTATGGAAAGTCATTGGTTTTCCCAAAAGGAAAGGTTTAATGGTTTTTTTATGGAAAAATCCCCGTGGTTTTTCTATTCAAAGACAAAATGGGTTTGGGTTTTTTGGAAAAACATTGGTTGCTTTTGGATGTCTAAAGGTTTG